CTACCTCTGGCAGACAAAGTAAGTCACTTTTCAAACCTGAAATATTTTTCTGACCTATTATCCTCTAATCTCCACTGACCGAACTGTGGGTTGTAAAACATTTAACATTAAAGAATAACAATAAGGATGTGCTCATAAATATTTCTTATTTTCTGCACACCTTTGGCAAGATTACTGCAGGCTGAAACTATAATTTGGTTTTGAACCAATCTGCATTTCCAAGTGAGCCCTACAGCTCCTGCCAGATTGGGCGCTCTGCATTCTTGTGATGATAAAGTAGCTAGATAAACAGGAAAAGCATTCTAAAGTACTTGTTCATTAAAGATGCCATCAGGATACCACCTCAGGTTCACAGATTAATGTTTCCCAAATGCTTCCCTCTTCTGGAATGACATCAGCTGTTTGAATCAAAACTACATATTTTAGTTGTTTGTTTGAGACAGTCATTTGGCAAGATCACAGAGCTACAAAATTGTTCTGGTTGGAAAAAACTTTTTAAGATCATTGAGGCAAACCACTAACCTAACTCTGCTGAGCCCAAAGAACGGGTTTCACTGTTTTAAACAAAACCTTAAGACATGCATTTTGCATTTGTTAAAAAGCTATCACACCTTCCTAATATCCACTATCAGAGAAAGCTCCTCTTCTGAAGCTCCTCTTATCTCAATGGAACAAAAATGTACATGTTATAAGCTTCTGCAAAAGCCAGCAGAGGACTCTTGCAGGGTACTGCAAATTAAACCAAATTCTATATGAAGCTTGATAAATACACAGTAGCCTAATTCACCCCTCTCAGGAGAGAATTGTCTTAAATAAAATTCTATGTAGCAAAAATTCAGCATCAGGCAGCCATCATGGTAACAATTCTCTAATTTGATTAAAGATAAAATTAAAATACAATATTATTAAAATGCTGTTGCAGTAAAAAACTGACTTGATAATAGTTTTTCTAAATATGGTCCTCTGCAAAAGAAGCAGTTTTTAGACCACTAAGCCCTCAACAGAGAAGAGGAAAAAAACGTGAAGCAATCAAAACATTTTTATACAAGTCCTCTCATATATATGACATGCCTAAGCTGTTGACTTTCCTTTTCTGTTCAAACGCATATTAAGCCCCAGAATTTGAACTGTAGAGTACTTAAGACAGAATTAAAAACCATTATCTAACAAGAAGACGTACAGAAGCTCAAGTTGTGTACAGAAGTATTACAGACTAAACTGAATTATGACTGCATATAATGCATTGTGCATTATATCTCACACGAGCTGTTATCAGGAAATGCAGTTTCACATCCTAGTTTACTAGGAAGAAATGCTGACTTAGGAGGCTCCTGAACACACTCTCCTGAACTCCCTCCACCATTCACCTCTGTGTACATTTGTGCTAATGAATTTATTTGTGTAGCTGGGCTGCAAGTGAAATCACGGACACGACCTGCAGAAAAACAGCCTTCAGAAGTCATTATTTTGTTTCCTACAGGTCATTTCACTAATCCGATTTCATTCAACACCTGCTGCCTCGAACTCACCGCAGCCTGGTGCAGTGCTGAAGCAGCGGTATCTCACCTTGTGTCCCCCAGGCGGATCACGAAGACATTGCACTTAACAACAACCAGCCGCAGAACTGACAGCATCCAAAAGTCAAACAGTAATGGCTTGAGACTTTTCTGCCTACGTGCCCACATGAAATCCAAGGGATTTCTGGTTTGAAAGCATTATACCGGACCTGGCCTAAAGGAAATGCCAGAATACAATGAATAGTTTAATTATATCACTCTGGAATAAAATGCAGCTCCAAGAGAACTTCTCTAATGAAGTAGAAGTAAAAAGCCCCTAAGCCACAGCAATGCTACCGACGAGCTCATCAACATTTAACTAATTTATTTCCAAGCAGTTAAAAGTTAATTCAATTAGCTTGTACTTTTCAACTGAATCTATTTATAGGAAAGAGTCTATATTTGAAGCTGATCCAGGCTGTTTAAAATGCCTTCTTACAAGTTTGGAAGGCAAAAAATTACTTCTACAGCCAGGAATTTGTTATCCTATTTATATAAAGTGAAACAGCTTTTCCAAACCTGCCCCTCAAAGATGTCCCAGGGACTGCAGATTCTGTCTGTCCTCGAGTTTGGGAGTGTGCCAATCATCCTAAAGGAGAGTGCCAGGTATCTTTTATCACTTCCTGAAGTTTTCAGGATCAGATAACTCAAAAAAACAGATACACTTCCCTCCCCACAGGTACAAGATGCAAACAAAGCACACTAGGGGAGTGGCAACACCTTCACTAGACAGACAGATTCCTGACTTACCTTAACTGCTCTTAGAAATACTTTCCAAAATATGACCAGGATTTTTTCAGCAACAAATTTAATTAATAGAACAGTCATAATAAAATTTCAGAGCATATCTGAAAAATCAGTTTGTAATTGCTTGCAATCTGTTGTAAAAACGTATCTACAAGCATTGCAAAAAATGCTGATTATAAATGCTCCATTTAATCCCACTGTTCAGAATTCCCTGCTCAAGACTACCCCAGTTCCCTGGAAACCTGACAGAGCTTTACATCCCCAAGAAACCAACCACTCTCCTTTCTACAAAGAAATGATCATTTTGTACAAAAAAAAGAGTACTTCTAGTTTCATTCTTTCTATTCTTGCTGACTGCTAGGGAAATTGAGTCAGCTTTGAAAGCTGTCATTTGCAGGCTTGAACATCTTTCTTGCACCAACTTTCTGGAAATGCTGATGAGGACTGCAACCCTGAATTTAACTCATTATTAAACAGAGAGCCAGGTAAGAAACAGAACCTTAACCTTTCCACAGCTTGTATTATCTAGACTGGTACAGACTGCTATATTCTGAACTATATGCGTAGTACAGACTGGTATATTCTAAACCAATAGTTGTTATGATTTTACACATAAACACACAAAATTGATCAATTCCAGGAGAATGACATGACTATTGCAGAAGGCAGCTGACTGCCCCAACTCATTCCTGTGGTACAAAACTCAGGCTGAGATGCCAGCAGCTCATGATAACTGTGCATCATGTTTCCCATATGAAGGAACCATTTTTTCAAACTGATCTGCTGACATGGGTGAAATTCTCCTCATCAGATCACTTTCTTTTCTGGTTCCTAGAATACTGCCAAGTGTTAAAACTGAATTAGAAGCACAATGCCAAGTCCTGCAGAGAAGTGTTCTGTCAGTGTTTTATCCACCCCACATATGGTATGAAAAATACCCATAAAACCAGGTTTTGCTTCCAAGACAACTCTGGGCAGCTTTATAGCTTTTTTCTAGTCTGTGGGTAGGCAGAGCACAAACCAGAGTTTCAAAACTGTAATTTAAAATTCAAATCTCCAATAAATCTACAAAGATTTGTGCACAACTGTGATAATAAAACCCACTTTTAATTCTGATGATGATATTTTAAACAAGAGTCCAACAACGTCCAAAAAGTGGAAAAAAGCCCCACAGCACTGCGGTTCAGGCAGCCCACCCAGAAACAGAAGTAAGTGACATCCAAATAACAACTGCTCCTCGGACAGGAGACTGGAGCCGCAAGCCCAGCACAGCAGCACG